CTCGATCACATTCGTTTTGGTATTCAATTGGGCGCGGCCCTTGTGCAAGTGCGCCAACGTAACCAGATCCACCAGACACTGGACATGATCCACCAGAGCACGGCAATTGGACTTCTCTAGCACCAGACAGGATATTAGATTGATTAGGGCATCACGCATCGAAGGAGACAGACACTTCAAGGGAAATATTGATCAATTTAAATGTTAATCCAAGATTTCCGCTTCGTCTTACGCGATCGCTGAGCTGCAGAATGTAGGACATGTCGCTGAACTTGCCAATCTCCTTGTGATAGCGTCTATAGACCTTGGCCAGAGCCTGCAGCGAGAAGACCGTCATCTGATCATCATTGACCCGCTGCCGGCACAGCACGCGTCGATACAAGGCATTAAAGAGCTCAATGCTGTCCACATAAAAGGTGAATAATTAGCAGAGAGAACTTTAGATGGAAGGGCAAGACGTACGGATCCTTAACCAGATTCTGCGGCCAGTCATCCTTCTCCAGTATGAGACGTATATAGTAATCGCCAATTTTGATTTCCTCAGCGAGACATTGATAGCCCACCTCAAATTCCTGATAGTTCCAGGCGACAATCATCTGGCCAGCCAAGTCGCGATCGTTGAGGAACTGACGCAGCTCATTCTCCAGACACATGCGCAGTTCCTCGCGCGTCTGTTTAAATAAACGAGCATATGATTTAATTTTATACCTGAATTACTCAAACGGTCGACTATATCGAGATCTCTGCTCACCTTGTGATTCCATATCAAGTTGGGCAAACTGTGATCTTTGGCGAAATTGTAAAAGAAGTAGGGCAAGTTGACAATGGCATCGGTGGTTTTCTTTTTTTGCCGCCGATTGCGCAGCACCACTGGACGATTCTTGAGCGCCTGGGCGGCGCCATCCTGTTGCTCAATCAGATTCATGCCCCAGTGCTTGATGCCCTGCAAATGCTTCTCTATCACATTCTTGCGAGTTTTCTTGGAATGTTGTATTGCATATTTGAGATTATCGCGAAAGTTTAGTTTGTCCTCCTCGACGTCCGTGTCCGGCACGCTCTCCTCTGTCTCCAGGAAGGTCAACAAGCCGGCCGGCTGTAATTAGACCTCAAGTTAAATAAAGAAATTAAGCGCAATCAGTTAAAAGACTTACGAAAATGCGCTTGAATAGTTCCATGGCCTCCTCGCTGTCCGTTAGCCAGAGTCCAATCAAGTGCCGAGACAGCTGCCGATGTGTTATCAATGTGGGATCATTGGAGGGCGTGTAGAGCGCCACCAGCAGATGGCGACAGAGCGCCGCCTCATCCAAGGCCAATGCCTGCATTTGTTGAGCCACATGCAGCTCACCCTCTTCGATGATGGCGCGCAGCACCAAACCCGCACCCTTGACAATTGCCAGCGATGGATGCTGGAACAGCTTGTATAACGAGCGTCCACGCTCGGCCACCAGCTCCAGCAAAATGTCAAACTGTTTGCCATCTGTCGTCTCGCTGTAAGGCACACACAACGCAAAGGTCATGAAGTCCAGCATGGCGGATAAAACTAGCGCACCGCTGCCGTGACTCTGCGGGCAAAGAAATGTATAGTTAGTCATCAGGTTTAGGTTTGGGTGGGACTCCACTTACCACATGCATTGTCCACATGTTGAGCAGGGTTTCCAGAAATGATTTCGATGATAATATGGAAGATTTGTTTAGCTGCTCCTGCTTAAGGTCATGGTCCGTGTTCACCGAATGCATCAGTGAGTTGATCATATCAATCGCCGAGTAGGTGACGGCCAAGTCCTTGCGACGCAGTGCAGCCACAACCTTGGTGCCGATTATTTCGCGAAAGCTGCAAGACACAGAATATGCCCTGTATAAAACCGATTCTGACTGACTAATGATCTCTGTGATGGATCTCTAAGAGTAGGTTTTGGAAAGTAAATACATAAGTTGAGAGTTCTGGGCTCGTTATCCAAGAAGATGTCTCCTTCTGCCTGTGACATGCAATTGGTTCGGGTAACAAGAAATAACTATTTACCCCGGCAGATTTGTAAAGGCCGCATAGCCTACTTTGCTGGCCAGGAGACGCGTCAGCGCATGGAATATAGCCTCTAGTTCCGTGTTGGTCAGCTGCGCCGTGGGACTGTCGAGTTCCTTTTGTGCCAGGGCCTGCAATGCGCTGAGTATAAGCTTCTCCTTGTTCTCCGCAAACAGGCTCTGCAAGAAACAAGCATTAATTCATCAAGAAATCCCTCAATGGGCTATTATTTGGCTCACATCCTGGGTGACACTGTAGTTGAGTCCACTGTGCGGCACGTTGGCATTAAAGCGCTCGAGTATCTCATGGCGCTTGATGGGATTATGAAAATTGTTGATAACCAGCCGCAAAAGGTTGGCCTCCGTCTCCTCGTCAACGGAGCTGTTCAGGGGCACATAGCGCTTGCCCCGCGGCGTATTCCCAATGCGTATGTGCACATCCTGATTGCCACTGGAGCGCACAGCATCCAGCACAGTGGCCAGCAGCGAATCGCGATCGTTGGTGCTGTAGCTACGTACAATGCCGTTCTTGTATTCGATGCAAAAACGCTGCAGATTGTCCTTATCGCGCACCAGCGCAAATACATCGGCCAGCGGGCGCAGCGTGCAGACGCTATAGGTTTGCGGATCGCGCTCCAGCAGCGTCACCTCGGTGAGGCAGAGTATGCGTTTGACGGGATCCGGATGCCGTGGCGTTATCTTTTGCACCGTGAACTCTGTCATGGAGGTCTGGAACTGATCACCGCTGTAAGGCATAGATAGTTAAATGCTGTTGGGGCTGGGGGAGGAAGGGGAGGGAAGACTTGCCTGTACTTGCCAAAGCGCTGGCGGTCGAATTTCTCGCGCGTTATTTGACTCTTGAGTATTTTGGTTTCGATGCCGAGAAACTGGGAGGAGCGTTGGACAATATTCTGCACGATCTCATGATGATTCAGCGCCTTGAACATGTGCAGCCGGCTAAAGCCGCCGTAGGCCATCACGATGCCATTATCATAGTCCGAGATGCCTGCTTAAAACGTGCGCGTAAACGGAAAAATCACAACGATGAGTGCGAAAACAAACAGAACAGAAAAATGAAAACAAAGCGAACACGTATTAAAATGTGAAACAGGACAACAGAGCATTGGCACATTGGCTGGAACATTGTTTGCTGAAAGCAAACCCGATGCGAATGGCATTTTATAGAGCCCTGCATCGCTCAATTCAATTGCATCCAACTCGGAGCGAATAAACGAGCTTAGCAAACAGTAAGACATTAAACATTTCTGCTGTCGAGTTTGGGGCGAGCTCGATCTGCTCGAGCTTATTTTTGCCTCGCTCGACTTAAATAATTGTTCCCGTTTCGGTTTGCCTCGATGCAGGATTCTACAGGATTCTACAAGCCTTGCTATAGGTACCTATTATTCCGTCAATATCCTTGTACATATAGCTGGTCAGCACATCATTTGTGGTGGGATCCAGCTGATCCAAGGAGCAGGGCGTCACCTCCAGCACAGTGGGCAAACTAATGCCCGACCAATGGTATTTATAAGCATTGAAACGCTGCAACGTTAAAAAGAAACAAACTCATTTCAGATAAACGACAAACGATCGAAGAGATATTCGCTTACGAGAGCATTTTTGGGCTTGTCAGCGAATTCCCTGTAATATTTCAATATGGAGCTGAGTATATCGTTGCGATATTCCGAGGAAAGTTTAATCGTATCCAGTTTCTTGTCTTTTTTTATGGTGAGCACAAACTCATTGGGTATCTGCGGGCACAAAAGCAATTAATTGAAAACAGTATGCATTACATAAATGTTTATATATAAACATACATTTGTGGTCTTTGCGGGCGCGGCGGCCACTATATCCGAGTAGGTCCAGCGATTGGTTAGGTCAAATCTGTCCGGATTGTAGGTGGAGATGCCGGTCGTGCCAATCGAGAGTATGCGCTTATATTTACCCTTCCACGAGTGCTTTGTCACAATGAAGCACTCCAGATCCACATGCTCCCGCGGCGGCAACATCTTCGCGCAAGAATAATAACTGTTTGCAATTACTGTGCACCAACTAGATAACAAGACTGCAAGTGGAAAACCTATTAAAATAGATGTTTGTTTGACAAGAAGTTGTACGGCTGATTCATGGCTCTGATTGTCCAAAAAATGTTAATTTTCGCTGATTAATCAACTGGCCTGGGCTTGGATACTTATCAGCGGCGGTCGCGGCCCATACGACGACAACAAAGAAAAGGGGAGTAAACGTGACGGCGACGGCGACGGCGACGTCGACGACACCGAAGTGCTACGACTTTGGTTCCAATCAGAAGCAGCGGCGTTGCTAATTAGCTTAAGTGTTTTGCTGTTGCTGCGCATCCATTGGTTTGCTCACCTTAAACATTTAAAGCATTTCAACTGCTAGCACTTAAGTTTTACAAATTATTGTTGATTGATACTATTACTATTAGAGTTTTTAGTTATTTGCAATTTCTGCATTTGCATTTTTTACAAGAGCAGCGCAAGCAGTGTGACCAACGCCTAAAAGAGCTAAAAATACCAAAAATGCTAATTAAAATATACCAGGGCTGCAATCGGTAACCAACAGCAGACTAACGATGACTCATAATAAAAAGTCATAAAAAAATATCCACTAGAGCAGCCTATCACTTTTATAATTTATAAGCGTTCTTGCAAAGCATTATTTATGCAGCAAGGCGCGTTTTTTCCTCATGCTATTGAGATTGCATCATCTGCAGGAATGCCACTTATTTATTAATTAATCGCATAGTGTTTTGCATAGGGTTACCAAAAATAAGTATCGACAGCATATGGCACGATAACATATCGATAAAGTACTTTGAGCGCGCAACAAAGTATATTCAATTTGCATATGTAAATGCTGCTCCAAATAATATAATAAATGTAAGGTCGCTAAGTCTTATATATGAGTTTACACACCTTATTTCTCAAACAATTAAACTCATTTGGATTTGACTTAACTAGATTTAAAAAGTTTATTTGATTGCGTGCAGATATAAATGTGTTTCTGCTGTAATCTGTGTTGCATAAAACGTACTTTTATCTAAATGCAAATAAAGATGGCAGAGTTTATGTATTTATGTATGCAAGTATGTGTGTGTGTCTATGTATGTATAAAAATTCAAGATAAAAATCTCACAGTAACAAAGCAAAACAAACAATTAAAACAATTGGACGACGATTCGTATTTTACACAAATGATGCTGCATTATCTCAAACTGAGCTCTAGTATATATATAGATATATGTGGGTGTGTGTGTGTGTGTGTGCATAGTGTGATAAAATATATGTAAATAATTTGTATGAGCACGCACTGCTCCCGTTCCAACTGGAACGTCATATATTGTTCCAGTTGGAACACTAACGCATGGTTTGACTGTATAGCCAGGTGCGTAAATGATTAAATGATGGAAAAATGATGACAATGATAAGATGATGGGGTCTAAGTCTTAGACACACTTTACAAAAGAACCTTAGCATAGTTAACGTTATCTTTTATATCCACAAGCAGGCACATGGAACTGGTTCGCGCTCAGACTTTGGTGTGAGTGTGTGTGTGTGTGGGTGTGTGTGTGTGTGTGTAAAGCCCAAATTGATGGCTATAATGCTTGGCCAGATCGGAGGAGCAGCAGGTCAGCAGGAGCATTTGTTCTTGGCATCGGCGCTCGCATCCGCCGCACTCAAATTGAATTTCTCAGCATCGTTTGCATCGGCAGTTATAAGTTTGTCATTGATGAGTATCTGGAGGATCGGGAAATTCAGTTAAGCTTTTCATATAGAATCCTTATAGAGAGACCCTTGACTCACCTTGTTCACCAAGGCGCGCGCTGCTTCGTCGATGTTGATGTTCTCCTTGGCGGAGGTCTCGAACCAGCCGGCGAAGCCATTCTCCCGCACATACTCGTCCATGCGCTCCGGCTGCGTGACAATGCCCTGCTTCTCCTGGTCGCACTGCAACGGGCGGAGGAGGAGAATTAAAGTTCGATCGTATGAATAGCTGTTCTTGCCGCCCACTCACCTTGTTGGCCAGCAGTATGCAGGGTATGGGACTGCCGTCTGGCAGCTGGACCTTCGAGTCCAGATCCTCCTTCCACTTGCTGACACAGTCAAAGGTGCCGCTGCGCGTCACATCAAACACGATGAAGGCGCCAACGGCCTCCTTGTAGTAGACACGCGTCATATTGCCGAAACGCTCCTGTCCGGCAATGTCCCAGAGCTGCAGGCGGACTATCGTATTGGCGTCCCAGTGGAGCACCTTCAGGGCAAAGTCCACGCCAATGGTGGCGCGATAGTTCTGGCTAAAGAACTGATGTACATAGCGCTTGATGAAGGACGTCTTGCCGGTGCCCAGCTCCCCGATGACTAGAATCTTGTACAGATGTTCGCGTTTCTCGCCGCTCGGCGACATGATGGTCTGCAAAGAGACACACAGAGAGAGAGAGAATGTGAGTGCGAATGAATAGCTGCAGTTGAATGACACAAAAAGGGGGAGAGATTGGAGGGTGGGGGGGGGTTTCGTCGTGTTAAGGTGTCGCCTGACAATAGACCCATAAAAAACCCGGGGGCCAAGCACTTGTGCGGCTTCTGTTAAATGCAGCAACTGCGACAACAACTGCGACTGCGACTGCGACGGTGATTGGGCGCAAGACCTTACCGGTTCCATTTGCTGATCCATGGTCAAATCACCAAAGGCCGGCATGGGCTTGGACTGCTGCTGCTGCTCCTCCTCTGATTGGGTGTCCTCTTCGTTGGAGTACTCACTGGCCACCGACTGATAGCGCAACGTTTCCCGCCTGCCCTCAATGCTGTCGTGATCGCTGAGCGCGAATTGTGGCTGCTGCTGCTTGAAGCTGAGCCGGCGCAGACTCGAATCGCTTGGCTCCTCGCTGGAGCTGGGCTGCTGTGTGCTGGCGGCGGCCAAGGCAGCCTCATAGGCGTCCACGGGCGAACGTACGGCGCTGCCAACGGCAAAGCGCACCACGGGAGCGGCGGCGACTGTGTCCTGGTTGGATGTGGTCTGTGCGCTTTCCGCCAGCGAAACAGCGTCCGCCAGCTGCTCCACGTCGCTCAGACTGATCTTTGGCGGTGAGCCCGCTGGCAACGGAGGGGGCGGAGTTGTGGGCGACTCGGGTTCGGGTTCGGGCTCGGGCTCGGGTTGTGGGCTGGTTGGCGTCTCGAGCGCGTGCTTGGCCGTTGTCAGGCGATGTCCGCGCTGCTGCTGCTGTTGCATCAATGCCCGCTCCTTGCGGCTGCTCTGGCTCTGGCTCTTGCTGCTGGTGCTAGCGATGCGCACTGCCGTGCTGCTGCTGGCTAACTGATTGTTGGAGGCGCTCGCCCGGCTCGGCTTGGCGGGCGCTCGTTCGCGCGGCGGCGTGTCTCGCGTGCTCTCCGTGATAACGATTTTCTCCTCTGTCTGCGGCGCTTCTGCTGCTTCTCTCAGCTGCTGCTGCCTCTTCTTTTTCAGCTGCTGCTGCTGAGCGGACACCTTGGCCACAATTAGCTTGGTCGTGCGACTCGTCGTGTCTTTTGTGGTCAACGTTGTTGTCGTTCTTTTAACACTCGCTGCTGCTGCTGCTGCTGCAGTTGCTCCAGTTGCTGCTGCTGCTACCGTCTCGGCTGGTGTCGGGTTCAGGTAATCCGTTTCGCTGACTGCGCTCGTGCGTTGGCTTTTGCTTTTGCTCGGCTTGGCTTTGCCTTTGGTTAGCGTCTCGACTTTCTTGCCGCTGATGGTTATCTGCAGCGTATTGCCGCCCAATCCTCTCTCCCTGCTGCCGCTGCTGCTTCTCAGGCTGAGCTCATCGCTATGCGGTCGCGCCTTGGTCTTGGGCCTGAGGCTGCCCAGCAGCAGGCGGCGTGTTAGGCTTTGCCTCTTTGGAACGCTCTCGCTGCTGTTCAGATCCTCCGCCAGCTGCTCCGCGCTGCGTGGCTTCTGCTGCTTGGCTAAATCCTTACTCGGCTTTTTATTGGACAGACTGCGAAAGGCGGCCGAGAAGCGGGAACGTGTTTTGATCTTTGTTGGCGACTGCTCCTGCTCCTCCTGCTGCTGCTGCTCCTCTGCTTTGGTCGCTTTGCTTGTGCTCGCCTCGTTGTCAGCGTTTTGCATATTACAAGCGCTTCGATTGGAATCTTAGCGAGCAGAAGTCAAAGCCTGCGAGTCTGGCAGATTCCTGGAGATCGTTTGCAGCACCCTGGAATCTCAACGGTTTAAGCGACCGCAACGAGCATTAAACGAACGCGCACTGAAATTCGCATTGCCGCCGTCTGGGTTTATATAAATTTGTTTAACGCCTCAGAGGGCAACCGAACGCCCCCCTCGCCTGGTTGTGGTAAGCCCCCAAAATGGTTTTGGATTACAGATTAGCCTAGCTCAAAAAAACAACACGCTTACCAACACTGGCAACAGCAGTTACAGCAGCAGCAGCAGCACTTGCCCAGCTGCTTGAACTGCATGCGCCGGCTCAGTCTTGGAACAGTCGCTTATCAATCAATTTTTTTCGAGGCACAAAGCCGGCGGCTTTGTTTGCATCTTGACCAGCTGCAGATGCATGCAATGAATGCGCCTCCATTTGCTCCAAAATAGCCGCCAAGTGTAACATTAAGCTCAAGGCCCGTGCGGAATCTGTGCGCCAATGGGGCGTGAGGGCCAACTGTGGACATGGACATGGACGGCCCGACCAGAACAAAGCGCATTGAGGCAGCAAAAATGCATGACACGCACTTCGCGGGCTTCCTTTTACAGCTGAGGATTTGTCCAAAGAGTCGCTCAAGAATCTCAAAGCTGGGTGGGTGGTTCGCTCGTTGAGCTGGCCTGGTCTGGGTACATATAGAATTACGTTTATTGCAAAACGTGGTAAGCCACAATAAAGACATATCGCACATATATACAATTACGCGGGCATTAGACTGGCGTACTCTACCCCTCTCGCTCTGTGGAAGCGGGAGAGCATGCGGAAGATAAAGCCGCCTGATGTCATGTCGAATCTCACGTAACCCAAAGCTGCGACACGCTCAATTTGGAGCAGTCTCTGCTGTATATAACCATGTTGAGGCTATATCATAGCCAGATCTGTGCCTGCACTTGTCACACACACTGTTTTGCGGTTTTCCGTCTGAGAAGTCGCTTTTTGCATATTCTATTCTATACTTGTCGAATATACGCATATTCCAGAGCTTCCTCATTAAAAGTGAAATGCTTAAATAAATAGAGACAACTTTTCTCTGCTCATTCCCATTTCCCATTTCCATAATCGATGCAGGAATATGCAAAATGTGCTCCAATTTGCTAAAACTGTTTATGCACAGCTCAACTGGAGCACTTGAAGGGGACTGCGAGACAATTAGAATATTGCGTTACCCCTAGTCGACTTTTTAAAAATAATATAAAATCTGACGGCTTTACTTGAATTCATTAAAAGAGCAGAGAAGTGCTAAATATGCAGTGTGAAAACTAGGAGAGGATGGGAGTACACACAGAGAAAGAGAGAAAGAGAGTGGCGAGCGTAATGAGAGAGACGGAAGAGAGAGACAGAGACAGAGAGACGACAGCGAGAGAGAGGGAGAGGCGATATAGTGGGAGGCAGAGAGAGAGAGAAAAGAGAGAGAGAGAGAAAAGAGAGAGAGAGGGAGAAACAGAGAGAGAAAGAGAGAGTAAGTAGTTAGAGAGTTTATAATGCCTCACAAAATTACACACACAAAAAAAGCAAACTCACAATACACACAACACATACACAAACACACTTGACTAAAATCACAGCATAACGCGCAGGCCCTACATGAAATTTTGAGAATCGCATAGGAAGGCGCTTCAGCAAAATTGAAATATACGTTACTTTTGATTAAATTAAGCTGCAGGATGTGTTGCTAAATCATTAAATACATTTGATTGAGGGGGATAAATAGGAGAGAGAGAGAGAGAGAGATAAGAGAGAAGAGAGAAAAAGAGTGAAAGAGAGCGAGTAGATGAGGTTATGTGATTCCTTTATACAACTCACATTTTCAACAACTTTTAAGCCTCTTTAAAGCTTTACACGTTTGCATAACCCTTTTTTACGCCTTTTGTTAACTGAACTAGTTAACTGGTGTTTAGTCTTTAGACAGATTTGAAAGAATTTCCAGAGGCACGTGCTGTTTCACCTTAAAATTGTATAACATTTACGAGCACCGTAAAACCGAAAGCATTAGAAATTCACTTTCGACTAAACCAGAAATTCTTTTGTGCTCGCAAATGTTTGCACGCAATCGACAAAGGGTCGAAGCCCAGGGCAGGGGGTTGACGGGCATTTAAAGCATTTCGCTTAAGCGTTGCAATTACCAACGACCCCATTCCCCAGACAAAAGCCACACGGATACGCCCGGGGCGTCAATGTGGCAGGCCAGAGAAACAAAACCGTAGATAGCCTGTGGCAAGCAGGTCATGAGGTGTATTCAAGTCGTTTGTTATTTCCCAAATTTCAGCTAAATCACGTAAATAGTTTCCAGCCCAAAAGAATCCGCCCGATTCGCCAAGCTGTAGGAAACACTTTCGGAGTACTTTGTATTATTTTGCATGCTGCACGGCAGCAGTTGGCCTCTGGGCGTAATATTAGTAGGCTTGGTTATGCAAGTTGCAAATTCAAAAAAAAACACGCCCACAAAAAAGAAAACACTACTCAGGAGAAAATTCAATTTTCTATAAAAGCAATTCACTTTAAGCCAAGTATGCGAAAGTATGCAACACTTTTGTTTAGTGTTGGAAAAATATGCAATGCTTAAAAGGCTTTTCAGATTAAATTTGTTGGCTTTTTGTAGAGAAAATATAGCTAAAATATAATTATTATTAAAATAAATTGTAAATTATTAAAATAATAGTTGAAGGTAAAGTGAAAATCAAAGTTCATTACGGAAACAACTGTAATAAAAATAATTTAAAGCTTTGTATCTGTATCTGTATCTGTATCTGTATCTGTATCTGTATCTGTATCTGTATCTGTATCTATATCTGTATCTGTATGTGTATCTGTATGTGTATGTGTATCTGTATCTGTATGTGTATCTGTATGTGTATCTGTATGTGTATCTGTATGTGTATCTGTATCTGTATCTGTATCTGTATCTGTATCTGAATAGGTATCTGTATCTATATCCGTATCTGTATCTGTATCTGTTAATATATCTGTCTGTATCTGTATCTGTGAGATAGTTTTGAAACGTGACCTTGCCCGTGGCTGGCTGCACTTTGTGCTCACACGATAGATATTTTATAAAATGGATATGGTAATTGCCAACGAGTTGTAGCTGCACCTTGCGTGTGGCTCTTTTCAATGCGCGCGCATCAGAGTCAATGATTGTTGTTGTTTATCAGTTGCAGCTACAACAACAACAATAACAATAAAAACAACAACTGGCCACAAAGTGCATTGGCTCGAGGCTTGCGGCTGGCAAGCGATGCGCAAAGTGCGCGACAGATTATGTCCAAATGTGTTGAATATATAGAAATAGAATACAATTATTGTTACACTGAGTAGTAATAAATGCATTAAGCTGTCTAGCTTGAGATTAATGTTATATTTTCTAATTTTAGTATAAATAATAAGTGACAAGCAACAAGATTTTTATAAGGCCTTTCCAAAGATTTAACCTGTTGAGAATTGCAAGCGTCAGGCAACGCAAATAGCAAATCAAACAAGACAGATATCGTTTTGCATTGTTTGCAAAATGACTGGCTGCTTGAGCTTAGATATATCCTGCAGAGACTTGAACCTGATTTAATAGGTATTCTGAGCGATTGCTCAATGAATTTTGTACACGCGGCGCATATTTGATACACCGTCGCGTATCACAATTGATATCTTATCTAGCTCTTATCAATGTCGAGTCATCAAAAAAAAAAAAAAAAATAGAAAGAAAAAAATGACTGCTCACTGATTAGATTGTCCCGCAGGCCAAAAAAACATGGCAAAAATGCAGCGAGCAACGAGGCCTATTCGATGATTCACTTAAAATGCCAACTATTTTAATTGTTGGGCTTTCATTAGCCACCCCCAACCCTTCTCGCTTCACAGTAATTGACCTTAAAACGTGACGTGAGACATTGTGAAAACGATTGGAAAAGTGGCCCTTGGCGTTGATGTCAATGTTGTGGGACGCCGAGCAAGTCGGTTGCCCTAAGACAAAGCAAATGTATAAATATCTAACTAGCAATCGTTTAAGTATTACCCAGACACACCCACACACCCACACACACACACACATAGACCCTCAATTGGCTGGGGCGAGCAACCTCGACCGGCTTGCCTATATATACGCATATATATATATATCTAAACTGTTTATATTGTATATCGTGTATCGAGAGTGAAATTCCATTGCCCATAACACGTGCCTCGGCCCGACCAGATTGCCATTTGTGACAGAACCACCCACCCCCCCACCGGGCATCTATCTGCTGAATTTTATCGCTGTGTTTATTTCGTCTCAAATGAGGCAACAATTTAGATTTCATTTCCTCTTAACAGTGTGGAAATCGCTGTGACATAAGCCTCAAATGTTTTCCCTTTGCTTCGGTAGCTACTTGTTTATAGATTGAACAGACTTAACATGATCTTGCAAATTAAAAAAAAAAAAAAAAGTGAGAGAGAAAATAGATTGGCCGAAAATGAATACCCTTACCAAATTGTTGTGCTTATTTTGTTGACAATCTTCAATAGATTGTTTCTATATAAGATTGATATATGTGATATGGTAGCTTAAAGTTGATTTTAATTTATTACATAAATTTAGTTTGCTTATAATAACTATATATACAGCACAATTAAAATACTCTCTAAAAAAAAAGCGATAAAATGTGTTCCCTTAATTAGAATTCTACGCGTTTTCCCAGCATTCAACCATAAAAACTTTCAGTTCTCGTTAATGTCACACTTAAGTTTTATTTTAGTTTGCAACTGTTCCATTTGCAATTTTCATTTCCAGTTGCTAAAACTATTTTCAGTTATTTTTCAACGAGTTGACCGTGATTTTTACTCATTGTTTGTTATTCATGAAAGTTTTGAACAAATACATATTTAACAATTGCGAATAACAAATGTACGGAAGGTGGGTCTTTAATATATATACATATATTTATGTAACCGACACAGTTACATGCGTTTTATTGCAAAACTTAGACGTTGCGAGTAATATTTATTTATTTGTTATTTTTTTGGCTGTTTGCATGGGTTTTATATAACATTAGCATAATGCGCGGGCAGTTCAACAAATA